AGCTCTAGCATCGGCGCCCAGGTTAGAGCCATTCCTGGCGCCGGACTCAGAGCTGGAGTCAGCACCAAGTCGAGAGCCAGAGCCCGCTCCAGCGGAGTCCTAGCACCAGCTCCAGAGCCGGAGCCCCCGCGAGTGCCCGAGTGAGAGCCAGCGTCCTGAGTGCCAGCGGCACACTCAGAGCCAGTGCCCGCTCAAGAGAAAGAACCAGCTCTGGCACCAGCTCCAGCACCAACATCGGAGCTAGAGGCAGCTCCTGTGCCGGCTCCTGTGCCCGCCGCAGCACCAGCTCTGTGCCAGATTCTGCCCTGGCATCAGTTGCAGAAGTGGAGCCAAGCGCCAGAGCTACAGCCAGCTCCGCCACCAGTCCTCACCCTGGCTACAGAGCTAGACATCTAGCGCCACAAGAGCCAGATCCGGCATCAGAACCAGAGTTGACAGCCAGCTCCAGCACCGGCTTGAAAGATAAAGCCAGCTGCTGTGCCAACTTCGGGACGAGAGCCGGCTCCAGCCCCAGCCGCCCAGCTGGATCTTGCCCTAATTCTGGCACCAGCTATATGCCCCCAGAGTGATGGCCAGCTCCAGTATCAACTCGACCCATTGCTCAGATCCAGCACCTGCTCAGGCGTCAGGGTCAGCTTCGGGGTCAGCTTCAGAACCAGAGCCGGTACCAGCTCAAGAGCTAGACTCAGCTCGAGAGCTAGAGCCAACTGCAGGTAGATCCAGCTCTGGCACCTTCCCCAGAGCCAGACTAGTGCCAGCTCGAGAGCTAAAGCTCGTCCAGCACCGGCCCTCGCGTCAGCCGCGGGGACGGAGCCAGGTCCAGCTTCAGCTCCCGCGCCGGTCCTGGGATCAGAGCTCTTTTGAGCTAGAGCTGCCTCCAGCACACGCTCTAGCATAGGTCACAGAACTAGTCCACGACATCGCTGACATCACCGTCATGGGCGCGGCGGAGGTGGGGCTGAGGGGCTAGACATTTCCTGCTGGGCGTGTCACTTCCAGGCACCTCGATCACCTCCACTCAGGGCTCCTGCCCCGCTCCCTCCCTGAGGTCTCGGCCCCAGGTCTCCACACCCCTGCGTCCCCAAACAAGTCCCAAAGAGGATGTTGGGAACAGCGGCCAATAGATTAAAAACTGTAAACATTTTGACCCAGACACTCCACTTCATGGATTCTGTCCTAACCAGAGGTTTACGGACACAGATGTTCCCTTCGGCATGAATCTGTGGAAGACCGGAGATGGCCCACGGTCCACAGCGGTGGCTCTTTGGAAATCCTGATGTGGGGACACAGAAAATGCACAGGAGGAAGAGGGCTGAGAGGCGGTGTCCACCTGGGGGAGGTGATGTTCCAGAAGGGTGGGTGCTCAGGACCCTCCCCCCCGACACCTGCAGTGCATGCACACGTGCACACACATGTGCCCACACACACACCAGGACCAGTGCTGGCAACTGGACAGAGCGCCTACTGCTCCCCGAGAGGACAGCCTCTCCCCAGGGAGCCGCTGGGGCCTCTGCTCCCTCTCTCTGTCCCCAGGGCCGGCTGCCACCAGACTGGATGCCTGCAGGCCTAATGGTGACAGTGCCCTCTCTGAAGCGTTTATAGTGCGTGTATCGTCGGGGAGGCCGGCCCCTCGACACGTACTGGCACATGCACTGCGTCCCGGTGTTGGTCTGGGTGTTTGTTCCTTGACCCTGGCTTTCGAGGGTCTCTGCACCCAGGGGTGTTGAGCTGCCCTCTGGCCTTGGGTTGCGGGGACAATTCCGGTGTGAGGTGTGAGGCAGCAGGCGGGCGGGGTGCCACCGTGCTGAGGAGAGGTGGGACAATCACCTGCTGACCAGCAGGTCCAGCTCCTGCTGGGTGGTGAAGGTTCGGTAGGTGCACAGGAAGACGGTGACGTAGTGGGGTCGCTGCCCTGGAAGGTGGGCACCAGGTACCCTGGCAGCGTCTCCATGGTGTTGGCTCTGACTGCCACACCCTGCGGGACTCGCCCAGGTCCAGGGCTCATTTTCACACGGGAACTACTTTTCTGAGAGGGACAATTGAAAAGACACAAACAGCACAAAAATCCCCAGTTCACCGATAGATAATCTTAACAAATATGTGAAAAGTGCGTTTGGACCTGGCTAAGGCTGTGTTAGTGTAAAATTTACGTTTAGGGTTAGTGTTAGTTTGAGGGTCCCAGAGGCCATAGGTTGGGACTGTGGCACTCCGCAGGTGAAGTGCTATTTGGGCAGGCGGCCTTGCCAGCCACCTCTGGACCCTGGTTCTGGAGACACCAACGTGCCTGCTGGCCTGCAGCCCCCTGGCCCTCACTGGAGTGGTGGGGCCCTAACCCCTGAGCCAGGCCCTTCCAGGTCCTTGTTCTGGTGACTGCAAAGTTCCTCCAAGACACCAGCTGGTCAGGGCTCACGGGACATGCCAGGTGCTCTGGCAGCAGGAGGGACTCGGGAGGCCAGCACCTGGCCTTGGGCACTGTCTTTGGGCCGCTTCCCGGCTTGCTTGAGGTCCATCTGCAGGGTGGCAAACTTGGAGGTCCCTTCCTGCCATGGTCGAGGTCATCCTCCCCACTCCGCCTCCCGAGCCCCTCTGGTCCCCCAGCTGCCTCTCTCAACACCAGGAGACACCCCACAATTTACCTGCTGTACGTGTGCATTTTCCCATTTCGGGTTTGCTAATTAAAGTCGTGCTGGTCATTTGTGGTTTCAAAGTGGTGCCCAGATCCTGCCCCTTAAACCATGTGCCCCGGCACCGGCCCTGAGGGGAGGGCCGAGCGGCCACCGCGACTGCAGTCTCCCGGTCCCCCATGTGCTCCGCAGGACCTGGCTGGCAGAGGCAGACGTGTCCGTCCACACGAGGGCCACCCTGTCCCAGACCCCAGCGGGCAGGATCCTCCGGGTGGTCGAGAACATAAATGCTGAGCCACAAGGAGGGGCAGCACCTCACCCCAGGAGACAAGTGCTGCCAGGGGTGGCCCCACGCATGAGCGAACAGTGAGAAGTCCCTGTGCGTGCCCCAGGTCCTTCCTGACCACTGGGAGGGTGCCTGTTCAGGGTGCCCGGGGCTCACCTGGCCTGTGGGTGCATCGCAAGGGGCTCTGAGCCCCAACATGGAAGATGGTGGCCTCAAGAGGAAGCAGGCACTTGTGTTGTCCCGTCCACATGCCCACCCATCTCCTGGAAGCTCAAGGGGGCAGGGACTCTGTGAGCTCCGCGGGCCTGCCGCACCAACGCCGGCCAGCCCACACGGATCACTCCTGAACCTACAGGTCCCACCATTCTGCCCCAGTGTGAGCTTTGATTGTTGGAATCCTGCCAGCTCGGCCTCTCCTGTCCTAACCGAGAAGGGCACCTGAGTGGCTCGCCCTAGGATCTCACGTCACAAAGCAGCCCCCCAGAGGGGTCCTCTGGTTGGGAAGACAAACCGCCCTGGTGAAGGAGCCTAATGTGCGTGGCAGGGGACTTTAGCCCCAGGACGGCGTGTCTCCCAGCGGGGACTCTGTGCACAGGCCGCTAGTGCTGTGCGCCTGCGGGGCCCGAGGGTCAGCAGCCGCCCCGGGAGCTGCTGCCGAGAATCATGACTGGCAGCGGGGACACGAGGCTGAGACGACCGGGGCGACTGGGACTCGCCAAGGACTGCAGCCCAGCACGGAGGGTTCCTTTAGGGACAAAGCTGGCTTTTATTTGGGAAGAGAGTGGACACGTCATGGGGACGCCCCACATCCAGCCTGGCCTGTGTTCCTGGGGGCGGGGGGTCGGCGGGCCCCGGGCCCCGGGCCTCCGCCTGCTCCTGCAGTCGGTATAGGGCCTCGACCTGCCTCCGCTTCTCCTTAGCCCGGCAGATGGCCGTCTGAAAGAGCCTGCAGAAGAGCTGGACGGACGGGGGCGAGTCATCGTTGCCGGGCACGGGGTAGGTGATGAGGCAGGGGTTGCAGTTGGTGTCCACGATGCCCACCGTGGGGATGCTCATCTTGGCTGCGTCTCTCACGGCCACGTGAGGCTCGAAGACATTGTTGAGCGTGTGCAGGAAGATGATGAGGTCTGGCAGGCGGACGCTGGGGCCCAGGAGCAGGGGGGCGTTGGTCAGCAGGCCGCCCTTGAAGTAGCGGGTGTGGGCGTATTCGCCACAGGCCCGGGCGGTGCTCTCGATCAGGTGGGAGAACTGCCGGTTTCGGCCCACGAACAAGATGATGCCCTTGCGGTAGGCCACGTGGGCTGTGAAGTTCAAGGCCAGCTGCAGGTGTGCGGCTGTCTGTTCCAGGTCGATGATGTCGTGTTCCAGGCGGCTCCCGAAGATGTAGGGCTCCATAAACCTGTCGGGACCCCACGTGGGTGGATGCATGGTGCTCACGCGGCTGGCTCTGCCGGCCTCTGCCCCCTGTCCCACAGGAGAACTCCGCCCCCAGGGCTAGCACCACATGTAGCCCCTCCCCACACAGGCCCTCGGGCAAGCGGCTTAGACCCCAGCACCTCGCCATGCACGTCAGCTGGGGACCCTAAGAGAAGCTATCGCACGTGGACCTCTGGACATTTAAACGCACTGGCAGGGCGTTCTGCTCAGTGCTGTCCATGCCATGGGCACTTCTGACGTTATCAATGCCGTCTGCCAGTCTTTACAACTGAGGCCTCTCTGGGGCTGGGCTGAGCGACCAGCCAAACTGGGGGTGCCCCAGGCTGCAAGTGTGAGGAGTTAGGACAGAGGCCAGCCAGACCTGGGGGGGACCCCAAGGGCAGAGGGTCAGCAGGGCACGGGACCATGTGCGTTGTGGGCTCCCGAGGCCTGTGTCCTCAGCACCCCTCCCTCCAACAGAAACTGCCTGAGGCACCCACAAACCCCACCCCGCCCAGGCCCCGGGCCCACCCTCATTTCACACGATTTCTCAGCAGCTCCCCAGGTCCACGCTGCTCCCTCCCAGCACCCAGATGACAGTCACACTGGAGTGGCCAGGGGGTCACCCCTCACAGGACCCACATCCCCCTGGCCTCCCCTTGTCCTGGTCACCTTGGTAAAGGCCACCAACCTGCACTTGCTCAGCCCACCTTTCCCCCACCTGCAGCGCTGCCACAACCCCCTCACGTCCACTTGCTGCTCCAGCCCTCCTGTCCCGGGGAGTCGGGCCCCATCACCTTCCCCGCTGGCCGCCCACAGGCCCCCCCAGTGCCCTCGGATCCACTCTCCATGCAGCTGTCGTGATGACCATGTGACAAGACCAGGCCACCTATTACTACCCTATGGAACCTCTAGGCCTCTCCAGGCTCCTCAGCCTCTCTCCCCACCTGGCCCTGAGCCTCACTCTAGGGTAAGAAGTCTGGTGGGGGCGGGGGGACCTGGGAGGCGGGGAGTTGCAAGCTGAGCCTGAGGACAAACCGCTGCCTCTCTAGTGGGGTCCAGCGATCCCATTTGGAGGGGAGCGCCATGCTCACTCATGCAAACTGACACATGCCAGTACAGAGCGTCCCAAATCCCGGGAACCAGCACTCAGTGGGGGTGGGGGACACTCACCTGTGCCGACAGCCCGCTTTGTGTCCCAAGTGCACTCGGGCATCGAAGAGGCTTCTCACGGAAAACAGCTCCTTGACACTGAAGAAGTCGGAGTGCTTCAGGGGCTCGCTGAGGATCCTGTCCTGGAGATCTAGGGTGACGAGAGGGCGCCGTGTCTCGGGGGAGGCAAGTGGGGGGGGGGCGGCGCGGTGAAGCCCGGCCGCTGAAGGTGACACGGGGTTCTTTTCAGGAGGTTCGGGACAGACTCGGTTCTGAACATGGCTCTGTGCCTGGTAAACCCGGTCGAGTCACCAGCTCAGCGGTGGGCGGGGCGACTCTAACGCCCGCTTTACGTGACGGCATCTGCCCCATGGGGCTGCTGGGGGGCTCGGACCCCTCCAAGGTTTCACATCTAAACCAGGCGGGACTAACCCTCCTGGCGGCAGACGACTTCAACCCAAACTGGGGCGGCCTGGCGCGGCCCCTGCACCCCCGCCCCTTGTCGGCCCCGGGACCCGCATTACCGCTGCTG